GAAAACGGATAACAGTGCAGGAGTCAACGTCGTTGGCTCAGCAGATCTTCTTGGAACATGCTCGTGAGCCATTTGAGCAAGCACTTTTGGACTGCGTCGTTGACTGCATCGAAGCCACTTGTTGTCAATATCAGCTTCTTGATCATGTCTTCGTCTACTTTGTTGGATGCCTCCGCATATCTCATATCCATGTCCTCGAAGGCCTTGCGCAACTGACTGAGGCCACCCGCCGCATCCAAAGTTTCCCGAAAACTCTCCCTTGACCTGAAAGGCAGGATGATGGACATGTCGAGATTCCTGTTGATGCAGACATAGCTTTCGAAGATACACCAAGCTCTGGTGACGTATTTGGGCGTTGTGAAGCTGTCCAACATAAGCAGCATCCGACCCGCTTCGTCCAGATGGTTCTCGAAGACGGCTTTCAGCTCGTCCGAACCCGTCTGAGTGCCAGACTCGATCATGCGGTACCTTGCATAGACCGTTGCAGGAACATGACACTGCTTGTCCCTTCTGGCATTTCTAGCCTACACTGGCCTACAAGACACACAGCAAACACGAAGCTTCTTTGCGTTGGCCTAGGAACTGGTTGTTGCAGAAGAAGCAAACCCACAAGCACACGTCGCTTGGGCTGGTTGCTTCCCTCTGGATCCACGACTGAATCGCGCTCACGAAGTCCTCCAAAGTATAATCCCAGCACCAAGAGACAAAGTGCGTGGCCCTGCCTCTGCAGCTTTCGTCCAGGGCGTCAAGAATGCTGCACCCGAGCCCCCCATCTCGCGGACAAGTCTTGCCGAAGCCAAGACCTTGTGGTCCCATGGCAACTGCTGGGCAAATCTCGTGGAAGTTCGGATTCGCCTTTCCCGTTGCTGATCGGGCAAGCTCTGGGAAAGTACCCAGAATCCACTCTGCGGATACCCCAAGAACCGCCGGCTTAGGACACGGGTGGCATTCTGGACAGAGACTCGCACCATGTGAGCGACTGTGCCAGCGCACTGAGGGCGCTGCCGCCGAGTGCTCCTTGCCGCACTGGCCGCACACGTAGGCCTCCTGACTTCTCAGCACCTGCATGGTGTGACCGTCAACTGCCCTCGGGCAAGAAGGGACGCGAGTCCATCGAAGAGTTTGCGGCCACCGAGACCGAGTCCTCCACAACAAGACACCACCGTTATGGTCCACGGACATCAGCTCCTGGCACACTCCACCCGGCCACTCAAAGTGTGTTGGGGGTCCTTCCTTCAGCTCGCACTCCTGGCCAG